CCATTTTTAACCCCTCCTCCCCCCTTTGCCACATGTTTTGTATGAACCTTATTTTTTTTTGTATGGCTCGTCACAGTTTTCAAAAACCTCCCTCCCCCCTAAATGTATGGCATAATTAATGGACGACCCCTATTACCCAATCTTTAACCTTTAAATACCTTGGAGTCTGGTTTGATTCAAAATGCACTTGGGGTACCCACACTACAGGGTGTTCAATAAGTTCGAATACAACTTTTCATCGTGTAGGTGCGCACCATGTGCAGTCTGGGTATTGGTATTGGTGTCAGCTTTAGCCTCATATATAGGCTAGCCGACGCGCACGGTGTCGACTTGCTGTCATTTGTTGTTTGTTTACCGCGCACGATGAAGGAGTACCGCAACGTCGCAGTAAAGTTGTTTGCGAGAGGTGAGCGACCCGGTAACATATTCCGGCGGTTGAAATCCCACGGGGTGAAGCGGAATTTCATCTATATCACCATCAGTTGGTGCCAGGAGAGAGGCTCGGCCAAGGACCTTGTGAGATCCGGGCAGCTGCGTTCGGCGAGGACACCAGCAGCCATCAAGGTTGTGAGGGAGCGGTTTCGTCGAAAAATGAACCGCTCGATCCGGAAGACCGCCGCTGACCTGGGTGGACGTAGATTGGTCAATGGTATCGTTAGAAACTGCTTTCGATGCGCTCGTGCTTCACCCGTACCCACCAAGCAACAAACCGGACAGTTGCCCCAAGACAGAATCACTCCTAGCCGTCCGTTTTCAGTCACCGGAGTTGACTATGCCGTCCCATTATACATCAGGCCAATCCACAAACGAGCTGCACCAACCAAGGTCTACATCAGCGTGTTTGTATGCTTCGTCACCAAAGCCGTGCACCTGGAACTTGTGAACGATTTATCATTGCACTGCGATGATTCATCGCTCGTCGTGGTTGTCCTGCACACATCCATTCCGATAACGGGAAAAACTTTCAGGGTGCCCAAAATGAACTTCGCGAACTATACCAGCTGATGCAGAAGGAGAAGACGATCGGTGAAATAGCCACTCACTGTGCGAACCAGGGAATCCAGTGGCATATGGCACCGCCGAAAGCCCCACATTTTGGTGAGTTGTGGGAAGCAGTTCGACAGTTCGGCAACTCAATGCTCTCGTTCGAAGATATGTCCACCGTGCCGGCACAAATTGAGGCAGCAATGAATTCCCGGCCATTGACTCCACTGACTGAGGACCCGGCTCACTCCGGCACACTTCCTTATTGGCACTACAATGACCGCTCTCCCCGAAGTCGACGTTAGCAAAATTGACACCAGTCGTTTGGACCACTACCGGCGTCTCCAGCAAAAAGTCCAGCAATTTTGGTACCAGTGGAAGATCGAATACTTGCAGGAGCTGCAGAAGGAAAACCAACAGATCATACCGAACACTGCAATCCAGCCCGGAAGATTAGTCGCCGTCGTCGATGAGTTTCTCGCTCCCGTGAAGTGGCAACTCGCAAGAATCGTCAACACCATCCCCGGACCAGCTGGGCTCATCCGAGTCGTCGATCTGCAAACCAGCAAGGGAATCATCCGTCGTCCGATTACGAAGATTTGCATGCTGTCGTTCGAAGAAGCAACTGAAGAAGCTTAGAATATTTTGATTGTGTGTTTAGATTGATTTGTTTTTGAATTATTATGACATATTTAGAAAAAGTGAAATTCAGAAATTTCAGGTGGCGGCGATGACAGTTCTCAAACTGATTGAGAAGATAGTGCTGGCAGTTCTAGTACTGCACTGCCAATATTGTATGCAAGTTGATTAGATAAAATGTTCCAACACAACGTAGGTTTAAATAGACAATGTAAAGGAATGAAAATTAGTTAGTAAAGTTGCAACAGCCAAGAAATAAAGATCGTTTTTTCCAATTAAATAAAGTTTTGATGATCTTGAGTGCCTACTCCGCCGATTTTGCCGTTCCGTTTTTGGGTGACTAGTGTCCGTGTGTGATCCCGAAATACCCCGCCGGAAAACCACGATCCTGCCCTAACATATTGAACTGTAAGTACCTCGCTAATCGAGAAAGGAGTTCGTTACTGCCCACACCATCATGACGAAGGACCTGGGATACAAGTCGTACAAGAAATACAAGGTTCACGAGGTAACGGAGACTACAACGAAGAAAAGGCTGGATAGAGCCAAACTGATACTTTCGCGGCACGTGCTTTGTTGATTGTTCATTAACTCTTGAACAGAAGCAAAGGAAAGGAGAAAGTGAAGGTGAAGGTGTAGCAGAACGCAGGAGAAGGGGGCCCCCATCGACAACGGAAGACGAAGGAAGAACTAGTGAAGGCTAAGGTAGGAGATAGCCGATAAGAAAGTGGGAAAGTTAGAGAAATAAACGAGACACGCGTGAAAGTTCATCGGGGTATGTTAAGAGTATTTGAGTGTTTCCTTGGCCGCGATAGTCACACGTGTATGCCGACCCTGAGGCAGTGTAGAGGGGGGTCTCATTAGTGCTGGGCAGGGAGTGCCCCAACTGTTACATGCTTGGCATGCACAGTTGTACACACGAACTGCTCATTTGTTAATAACTTTTCACTCAGTTGTTGAAATTTGTATTTCTTTAAAGTAATTGATAGATTAGGATCATAGTTTACTATAGATATGCAAAGAGTAGGTGAATCTTAACATTTGAATTTAACACTTTAAGTCCGAGATGTGCAGCGAGCATTTCTCAATTCATTTTTACAACCCAAAAACAAATACAGTTCATTACTAGAATTAAAATCCACTCTTTTTTACGTCTCTATAACAAGCTTGAACTCTTTTCTATCCACTGCTTCAAAAAGAACTATGTTTCGACAACTGCGTGCAAAGTTATTAGCAAATGAGCAGTTCGTGACCAAAACTGTGTATGCCAAGCATGGTGATCTTCTTGAAAGGTGTGTCATATTTAGTACAATAGCAGCAGAGCAGTAGAAATTTTCGTATTTCAAGGTGTGTCATCTGCAAATACTAAACTGGGATTTGTTGAATAGTTTTGAAAAAAAAAATGCGACGGGGGTTTATTTGTTGGTAAATTTATCATTAACTAAATAAATAGTCCATCTGACATGGTAGTCTCAATGAAACACTTAAATCTAAATGTAGTCACTCATTAAAAATTGGGCGGCAGCAAACGATGACGAAATCTGGAGGCATTGATGTCAAAGTCAATACTCAGGCATTGATGTTCATCAGTCAGATACTTCGTTGAATTGATGAATCATGGAGACAAATTAACAGTTTGCAGCATAGTTGGTTGCATGTTCGGATGGAGTGTTCGGGCACGAGCAGATTAATTTTGGCTAGTAACTCAGGAACATCATATTCTGCGAGCAAGACCTTAGCAACCAAGACGGCCTCTACCAGGGGAACAGTTTAAAAAGACGTTAATAGACGAAAGCACGGAAGCAAGACGGCCAGCGATACGTTTCGTCGCTCAGCAAGAGTATCCAAACCCAGCAAAAGACAGCGGTCAGCATACGGTGGTAAATTCAGCGGGTCATTCCAAGGAAGATAGCGCAGTGCGTATCTGATGAATTTGCGTTGAACAGCAACGTATCGTGCACTCCATACTGCTTGGAAGGGATTACAGACAACACACGCGAATTCCAGTAGTGAGCGTACCAATGAACAGTAAAGGGCTTTAAAACACAGAGGATCACGGAATTCCTTAGAGATCTTGAACATATTGCTTGGGAAGTGGCGAGTGTACGTGAGCTTTTCATTCAACATGACACCGAAGTGCAGTCCCAGCAACGTTACAATCAAACAAAACGGCAGTCCTAGCATAGCCTCGAACGACTAGGTAAATCTTCAAGTCATCGGCGAAAAACAAGTTACCTCCACGTAGTAGAATAAACGTTACATCGTTCACAAACAAAAAGAAGAGCAGTGGTCTCTAAGTGCTACCCTGTGGAACTCCTGAACTGTTCGAGAAGCAGTACGATGAGTAGTTTCCAAGGCATACAATAACATCACGTTGCACGAGGTACGATCTAAGCCAGAACGTCGTGCACAATTCTATCAAACGCAGCTTTAAGATCAGTGTAGATGGCATCCACTTGAAGTTTCTTGCATACCTTTTTCATACAGAACGACGTAAAGCTGACGAGATTCGTTTCCACGGATTGGCCAGGAAAGAAGCCATGTTCACATGTACTTATGTTATGCTTGCAGGAAGCAAACAATCTCTCATTTATCAGCGACTCAAACACCTTAGATTCAACCCAGAGCGAGGTAATCCCACGGTAGTTTTCCACATTGCGTTTATCTCCTTTCTTGAACAGAGGGAACATAGTAGACCGTTTCCATAGCGCTGATGAAGTGACAGGTTCAAGAGCAAGGGCAGCGGAACAGCTAAGATATCGGAGCATTTTTTTCAGGACACCCGATGGAATAACACTCGGACCTGGTGAAAATGATGATTTGGTTTTACTCATCACAGAGAGAACCATTTGTACATCTACGGCAAAAACATCCATGTTTACGACGTCGGTTGGCACATCACGGACGGCTCGCTCAATTTCTGCTTGCGATGGGGAGTCATTCGAGAAGACGCTTAAGAAGTGCCTAGCAAATAGGCTGCATTTGTCCTCAGTTGTCAATGCAACGTCTTTGTAGCGAAACATTTTTGACGGCAGGCCACTTTCCTTTCTCTTCGTATTCACAAACGACCAGAATCCCTTGGGGTGGCCTGCAGATTATGTTGGGTACGAATTACATACCTCTTGTAAAGAAGCTTGTTGTAGTGGCGATAATCATTGCTGGCAATTGAAAAAAAATCCTTTCGTAAGGGTACATCGACGATGCGATTATGCTACTTTAACATCCATAATTGATACAAAGTCTTACATTTAGTAAACACATATAACCTTAATATATTCCGTAAATGTTGTATCTGTAAAACACTTTAAACAAATACCTATATGAAAATACAGCACCAACATGTAAAGCAATTCCATTGGAATAACACAACCAATTATTCAAATCGTAACCGTATCCGAGATGGTGGAAACATTATCCCCACTCATGTTATGCTCATCCTGAAACCGTGCGTATCGAACCGGCAGCGATTGGGTCCGTACTCGGCTTGCAATCCCATGCAGTTCTTCGGCCAGGGACGTCGTATGCCGTCGCCGGCGGTATAAAATCAGTGCAACTACGGTCAGTATAGCGAAGAAAAACAATGCTCCGATCATGGAATATCCTAGGGGTCCGGTACCACCTCCACCCAGGTGGCCACGGGTGGCATTGGCCTTTAGCTGTTCCGCTTCCTGCAGAGTTGTGTTGGGGTTGCTGATGGCATCCACCGGTTTGGTGGAGGTGTTAGTGATAGTAGTAGGTTGAGAAGGTTGAGTAGCGTTTGGAGATGAAGTGGTTGTGGTAGTTATCGTGGAAGATGGAGTTGTCATCGTAGAAGATGGGGTTGTGGTTGAACTGACGGTCGTCATCGGGACGGTCACAGGAGATGATAATGTGGTACTTGCAGGGGACGTAACTGGTGTAACGTCTGTCGATAGAGAAGCGAACGTCAACATGTCAGTGCTAGTTGTAATTTCCGTCGGCTGATCAGCAATCGATGATGTCTCCGTTGCAACTGAAGCCACCGTTGTTGTAGATATGGTAACGTTAGTCTCGGTATCATTACCCATCGAGGAAACTATCCTGCTCATGCAAATAAAATATAAATTACATTCTTTGAACCACTGTTGACGGTAGGATTTACCTTAGGTAGTTCAGCTGACTACAGTTACATTCCAAGAATCCAATATGAGGTGAACTCTCGCATAGGTTATTTGCCCACCTTTGCTCCTTACTCCATAGTTCACACTGAAACAAAACTCTGTTAAGATTTTGTTAATCTGCTTACAGTTCCTTACCTTGTAACCTTCAGCAGAATTCCCAACTGGTAGAGAAATGTTCCACAGATATTGTCCGTCCTTCCATTCAGCGAGCTTTTCACTTCCATCCATCAACAGAAATACCTGGTACATCCCCAACATCGGATACGAAGTGAGGAGATCTGTTCGGTACCACACTTTTCCTAGACAATAGTACGGCACTTTCGCCGGTAAGTTGTCAATCTTTGGTTCATCTGTACTCTTCAGTACCGCATGCTGCAGACTGGTCTCGTTGTCCGGTATGCGAATACCCGTTTGAAGCGGTTTTATCACCTTTGAACTCACCTTCATAACCTCCATTGTGAACAAATCGCTCGAATAGGCATACTTCTTGTCATTATCACAGAGCTCTCTAACTGCCGTCGGGATGTAGTATAGCAACTTTGCCTTGTTACTGTTCTTGGATTCTTCCGTTCCATTCGGAGAGTTTATCAGGCTTTCAAACAACTCGAGTTTGGTTTCGGCCTTACCGATTAGAGTGGTTTTCAGATTAGGTTCAGTAGCCCGTGTTTTCCGAGCAGGCCCTCGTTCGACGGAGTCGATTAACTCAAGTAGTTCACCGAGTAGATTGTCGTTGGAACCCTTCTGTCCCAGGTCAATCAGAATTTTCACCTGCTGGACGAACTGAAGAATTGAGGATTCTGGCAAATAGCGTGATCTTTCAACGAACACCTTCCTGACTATAGGAGTTTGGTCTTCCAACAAGGCCATCATCTTGGAGTAGACGTCGTTGAAGTTTTTCGCGTCTTGATTTTTCAGGGTAATCAGAGTGTCGAACGCTGTCTTGGTTGCTTCGCGAAGGTTACCACGAAGGAAGTTGTTCTCCACGGCATCAATACGAAATTCTGTGTTTGCCGGGGTCAACGAGGGATTAGCTTTTAATGTAATTTTAGGTCCGTCAACACGGGAACAGGCACTTCGCGAGTCACATACTTCGTAGAATGTGGAAATACCATCCTTGGAATAAGGGAGCTGAGTTTCCGCAGACATAACTTCGTAGTAGTTAGCAAAATTAATCGAGTTTCCTTCGGCGGAGTACCAATACGAATATAACAGCGGAAAGTCCGATTCTCGTTCTTGGGCAACTCCAGTGGCGAACGTGAAGAACGTGCTGAGGGCAGTTCCATTTTCGTTGGGTGTAACTTCCAAGGGGAGACCCTTGGGCGGCGCATTGGTTTCCAAGATCATATCCCAGTGGCTGATTACGGTTCCGCGAGACACTTTTGAATCAACGCTGTCATCGATCGGTTCAGGACAATTTGTAACCAATCTAAACTTGTAGAGCACGTCAGGTGCTAGTCCTTCCCAGTTGGGTGCATTTGCGGGCAGAATCAGTGTGACTTCACGTGTCACGGTGTCGTTCCCGTAGTCTACGAGTTCAGAGAGAAAATTCTCCTCGATATCGTTGATGAAGACACCTCCAAGGCCACCCATAGCAGCAGTGTCAAAGTAAGAGTATCCCTCGCCTTTCACAACGGTCCAGTTACTGATGCATTTTGGGACAAGTCCATGTACGTCCACCAAGATTTCGTACCGTTGACCAGGTATAAGGTACATTGGTGGCAGCGTTTGCAGCACCACGGATATTGTTGACTTCGCATTTACTTGTAGATTTGAAATCAAGTTAACGTCTCCTACTGTGGCAGATATGGTGTAATTGGATTCCTTTATAAAAGAAATTGATGCTGTGCGTTCTGAAATGATCAAATCTTCAGAACAGCGTGTGTCACCAGAAGTGTCTTCACAGCTCCAGACCAAGCTGGATACACTTCGGTCGTTAAAGATGGTTCGCACTTCAGTCGTTTGGGCAAATCCGGTGGATGCATCCGACGGCAATACGTTCCCTTTTAAGGCGCGCGTCAGTACGTTCAGCTTCATGTTAGCTGCAACAATTTGCTTTTCCTCACTGGAGTCTACAACCGTGATGCCTATTTCGTAGCTTTCGGTTGGAGATAACGTTCCAGCAGGAATCTCCAGGACATCTGAGTTTGTATTCAGAGCTAAGGGGGCGTCTTCCGGACCGGATACAGTCCATTTGAACTAGAAATGTAAGCTAAGAATTAATATATACATATATATATATCAACAAGAACGAGTTCTCTTCGGACGGTTCCCAGCCTGTGCTATTTCGAGATCATCCTTCGAACCAATATTCCGTGGAGCCTTGTTTGATTCTAGTTCTCATTGTTTTGGGAAGCAGGGTTTAACAGTGAACGGTAAAGGAATGCTATGTAGAATTCGAATTGAATGTAAAGTTGATTAGTCTATCTTACGTCAATTTTTCTGACTATCCTTGTATAGAAGATATGTCATGTTGGCTGAAATTGGACCGATTCAAATTGATACCAGTCGAACAATCATCATAAGCGTTTTTCTTAACCACTGTTTCTATTACATAATACGATCACGTACATTTAATACACCTCCGATTTGGTAGTTGACTAGTGGGACCAGATATTTAATTCAAGCATTTTGGACAGGGAAATGAAACGGTTTAACTGGGCACCACACAGTAATGATAAATTTCACCGGTGAAAATAAAGTTCAGCTGAATCTAAAGCAATCGTTAAATAAGTAAAAAATTCCCGGGAAATTCGGGAATCCCGGGAAACGAAAATGATGTTTCCGGGAATTGGGAATCCCACACCCAACCGAAGGAGCTTTGGCGACTTCAATCTACCGGCAATTTCTTGGCGGTGGATTCCTGTATCCGGACCACAACCGTTCTACATTTCACTCTGGAGCTGTAAGCCTTTTGGATCATTACAGTATCGCCACTCTGAAGCAAATCAACCACGTGATTAATGAGAACAATCGTAGCTTAGACCTTTGCTTCGTCAGCGCTCAGGATACTGCTCTGCATTTGTCTATGGCTGTTTCTTCGTTGATAAAGACTGTTCCACACCATCCTCCTTTAGTTATTGCACTTGAAGGCAACCAAATTCTTGAGGTCATTCCATACGATTTCCGAAATGCTAACCACGACAGTATCGGGGAACTTCTTTCGAATTTGGACTGGCACAAGATACTCGTCCCTGCCGATGTCAATGCAGCTGCCCAAACGCTTTCGCATATTTTGGCTTACGTCATTGAGCGACACGTTCCGAAAAAAGTTCCTAAACAAGGTAATCATCATCCTTGGCAAACAAGGGAACTCCGTATATTAAAGTCTTCCAAAAGAGCCGCGCTAAAAAAATACACCAAGTACCACACCCCAACTCAAGGACCATTATGTGAGGATCAATCATACGAATCAACGAACCAGTCACCAATGTTATCGGCGTTATCAACGAGATGTTCAACGGAAGCTTCGATCTCACCCGAAAACTTTTTGGAATTATGTGAATGAGCAACGGAAGGAGTCTGGCCTTCCATCGACTATGGTATTGAACGGCGAAGAAGCTTCATCCCCTCAGGACATTTGCCGTCTGTTCTCAACCAAGCTTGCGAGTGTATTCTCGGATGAGAACCTACCGGACGAGCACGTTTCTCTAGCAGCCAGTAATGTTCCAATGTCTGGTCAATCTTTGACAGCTATCAACAACGACCTCGCTATGATAACTAGGGCGGCTTCGCAACTGAAGTCAATCGTAATCGACGACAGCCGATCTCCTTCGTTCCCTGCCACTTGGGGTATTCCGCAAGGTAGCCACCTCGGCCCATTGATATTTCTTGTGTATTTCAACGTCGTCAATTTCGTCCTAGACGGTCAACGACCTTCGTTCGCAGACGACATGAAAATCTATCTCCGAATCCGAGCCATCGCTGACTGCCACCTTCTCCAACTCCAACTCAACGCTTTTGCTAATTGGTGCCAACTGAACCGCATGTGAGCCAATTAAAAATCGTTAGTTTCGTATTGATTGTTGGTAGTACCAACAATCAATACGAAACTAACGATTTTAAATTGGCTCACCACTTTAGTAGCCTATTGGTCCCAAGCAAACGATTAACGTACCCTATTCTAGTTGAAATTCTATTACTACACTATGTTTGTTTTGATTCGCTATGAAAGTTTGACAGATAACATCAGGGGTGTGTGGATTCATGCAGAACATGCAGGGGTGAGTGAAATAGCCGAGGGGCACGCAATAGCCTTTTTGACTGCGTTGGATTTAAAGTACAAGGTGTTTAACTATGTACTTAAGTAATTAAAAATGAAAATTAAGTATTTCATGTAATTAAATTTAATTTCGCGTAATCAAAGCAGTGCCAGTGTAATTACTGTAATTAAAACACGTACCTCAATTTGATTACGTAATTAATGTAATTAAAAATTAATTTTCTGTAATTAATGTAATTAAAGTTACACAAATGTAATTAAAAACGTACCCAAATCCTTATTCTTGAACTATTTAAAAAAAATGAAGAAAACCTCGAATGAATTTATTTATTCAAAAACTCTTCTTACACCCTGAAATACGCATATTAATGTTTTACTAGACTACAAACATGACCAATTCTGCGAATACTTATACTTAATTTCTTGGAGCACCATGCTAGAGTTGGAAACTGAAATAATCCACTCGCGACAATCGATTTCACTTTCGTTTTGTACGTTCAACATAATGTCGTATCTAGTGCACTGTATTCGTTGAATAATGCGCTTTAATGCAAAACTAGAATAAAATCGATTGTCACGAGTGGGTTATATCGGTTTGCAACTCTAGCGACAATATACAGTGAAAAGGAAGTGATACTCATAATGAGGGCCGTGATTGCCATACAAATGAAATGGGAATCTCTTAGTTGTGACGACAAGTCTTTAAATTTTACATTTCCTTAAATTCAAGCAATTCCTCGAGCAAATTTCCTCCCGATCAAAAGAATTTCAAGCCATGCTCGCAGCACAGTTCGACAGATGATGATATTAGCTTCTGCCTGAATTAACAGATTCAATGGAAGATGTATTTGCATTTGCATTAATGTTCTGATGTTACGCGTGAATTCTTCGATTATTTCAATATCTCTTTCAAACTTAATATTATTGTACTAATAATAATTAACAGATTTAAGGCAGAGTTCATTAAAAAAAAAGTATAATCAGGTTTTGGTTGCAGACACCAACATGATTCAAACCAATTGTGTGCTTTTATTTTTATTATCGCCATCATATGATCACATCCGTATTCAGAATTCACGCGATAGCACTTATGAAATTCGCATCCCCATTGTTCGTCTTTCCATGGGTCAACTAAACAATACTATGGGCAGAACTCCAAACCGATAGGAAACGATGAGTCCCATGTGCACAGGACACGAAATGATCGTTACCGATCAACTTGACACGCTCAAGTTATCCGTGCTGAGAAGACATTGCATACTAGCTGCGATTTTTTACCGGAAGTAGCGCAGCGTGTGAATGTCCAAAGTATTCACCAGCTCCAGTGTCCGTTCAGCTGTCTGGGATAGCAAATTTGAACTCTTAATATGGTCATTACCGACGGAGTTTTGTAAAATAATGAAGTTTGATATGTCACACGAGGGGTTCCGGTTCTTATTGGGAGTTGGATATTTAAGCGGGGGGGGGGGGAGGGGCGCAATTAAATGGGACTGTAGACTGTCTAAGACTATTATAAGCCGTGCAGAATCATGAAGTTTGATATGTCGCACGAAGGATTTTGGTTCTTGTCGATAGTTGCACCATAGAGGTAACTCTAAGACTAGAAGGTCCCGCAGAAACGTGCTCAACTTTTTGGCACAGCTCTGGTACTCTCATCGGTCCCAAGCTAATCGATTCACCCCTCGAAACATAGGAAAAACCAATAACCCCTCATTTTATCTGTCAAACTTTCATAGCGAATCAAAACAAACATTGCGTAGTACTAGAATTTCGACTAGAATAGGGTACGTTAATCGTTTGCTTGGGACCAATAGGCTACTAAAGCGGTGAGCCAATTTAAAATCGTTAGTTTCGTATTGATTGTTGGTTGCACTGTATTAATTTATTTATTTATTTATTTATTTCTTATTTCATCTGACTTTTTTCAGTCTTAATGAAATCTAGGATGGTGAAAAGCCTCTTTGCTGTTTTAACGAGACATTTTTTGCTGTTGTAACGAGACATTGAACAGTTTTACTAACGGCGTCATCAGAGAACTCGAGCAGTTTTTCAACACAGATGAAGGAATCCCATCAGGACCGGGTGACACGGAATGTTTGAGCTTACGTAATGCATTTTCGACATGCTCCTCGCTGATCTGGAAAATTCCAAAGTCGATGCTGTCTAGCGGCGTATCACGAACAGCAGCCTCTATCTGCGATGGCGTAGCAGGCGTATTTGAGAAGACATTCCTGAAGTGTTCAGCAAAGATCTCACATTTACTAGAGGCTGTGCTAGCAAATCGGTCGCCGAAATACATGGACGTAGGCAATCCATCTTCCTTGCGTTTAGTACGAACAAAGGACCAGAACTGTTTGGGATGTAGACGTAAATTTCTCTGCGTACGATCAACGTATCGAGCATACAATAGACGGTTATATCGTGTGTACTTGTTACTGGTCATTACAAAGTGATGTTTGGAGTGCTGCGAACGACTCCGACTATACGTTCGAAGTGCAGATCGCCTACGGCGCTTCAACAGGCGGAGGCTCCTGTTCGTCCAAGGAGGCTTCAGTGGAGGGCGCTGAAGAGGCACGTGAGCTTCGATGACTTGACGTATCTCCGTGTTGAAAATACATACAATATCGTCCAGATCCTGATCAGAATCCAAAAATTGCCAATCGATTGATAATAGCGCATCATTCATCGAACTATAATCAGCCCGACGAAAATCGAACTGGCAGTCGTCTAGAGATGGTTCAAATGACACTGGTACCGAAATAGAAACGGTGACGTCAATAGCAGGATGTGGAGTATCGATTTCTACGAGCGATTCAGCCGCTTCGGATACGCAACAGCTTGATAACGCTGAGTCATTCACGAGTACTAAATCGAGAATCCGTGAACTGGAGTTCTTCACAGTATTGATTTGTGTCAGACCCTGGAAGCAGAAGGCATCGTACAATGCACAGCTAGCATTCGTTAATCTCGATGTATG